GGGGGGGGGGACAAAAAAAAAAAACCCAAAAAAAAACCCCCCCCCCCCCCAAAAAAAAAAAAAAAAAAAAAAAAAAAAAACCCAAAAAACAAACCCAAACAAAACAAACAAACTTTCTGCTGCTATTCGAATTGCATATGAATTTATTTTATTTTTAAAGGCAGGAACCACTAGCTATGGCAAAAAAACGCAATTTATTTTCTGGGCTTTCCGCACCACATGGGGTGTTTTCAACACTGGTTAAGAACCACTGTTCTAGGGAAGTGCCTATGACACAGGAGCAGTAATTCGATACTCTTGGGATGTCATTTTTTAAGGGTTTGTAAAGGACAGTAGTGGAAGGAGGGATTATTTTTTTATAGGGGGTGCAGAGGCTTGTGAAGTTATGTTTGAGAGAAAAAAAAAGGGGGGGGGGTAACTTTTTGTGCCGATTTGTGACGTTGGGGGAGGGACGGTGATAAAAAAAATAGGCAACATTGGCATGACGTCATTTTTGGATGGACCAAAATAAGTGAAAAGTGCATATTTCTGAACTTTTCAAGCCCCACTCCCCCTCCCAGGGACCTCTTTAGGTGACCCAAGGGGGTCTCGACGAAGGGCAAAGGGTGATAGCTGCTGTCATACGATTGCTTGCGTAGAATAAAAGCTGCGCCCTGGATCAAAGCCTGAGTTTAGGCGCCCTCTTCCCAAAATGGTATATATAAAATTTATGCAATATAATATTTTGGCAAAAGGACACCTAGATTAAATAATAATTATAATAAATACACATTAAAAATAAAAAGACAAATTGTGGCACCTGGGGCGACCGACAATGTTGGCCTACATTTAAAAAGGAGGTTAAAGTTCATGTTAAAATTCAAAGGTCAATCATGGCAGTTGTTACTTTCAATGATGTTGTTAATGCCAGTAACCAAATATCACAGTATCTCCACAAAACCGAAGTTTTTACATCAGAGCAAGCTGATAAAAAAACTGGACGTTGTTTATATTTTAAAACAGAAAATCTACAAAAATCTGGTTCTTTTAAAGCCAGGGGTGCTTTAAATGCCGTGAGTCTGCAAAGGCAAAACTTAAATAATAAATTATAATAATGATAAATAAATAATAATAATACTAATACTTTTAATAATAAAGTCAATTTAATAAATTATTAATATCAATAGGCAGACTATGCACTCTATAAGTATAAGTTAAAATTATTTACTTAGCAATTGCATATGAATATGATGGTGATATCATAACTTAAGTTTAAGTCTTAACTTAAGTAGTAGGCCTAACAGTAGTAAAGTAACAATATCTCATCAACCACTATTTTTCATCAGAAATGTAGGCATGAAATATCATTTTGAGTGTAGCATTCAACAGACTAGCTGTTTTTTAATCCCTAAAAATTATACTTATTATTATAATTAAAAGTTTTAATATAATACGACTTGGTATATATTATATAGTTATGTTATATTATATAAAATTAATAACATACTATGAATGATAGCTAGCCCGACTATATCCCACTGCACTGGCATTGCTTAATTGCTTTAATGGATATTATTAAAATTAGGTAATGAGAATTATAATTAAAAAAAAAAAATAAACTTTATATTTAAGCATAATTTTAAATTATATTTACAATATTTACTTTACAACATTTCTTTTTTAGATTCGAGCATTACCAAATTCTCCATGCTTTAGAGGTCCATTGGCCACATGTGTTGGTAAAGTTGGTTGAGCAAAAGAGGTTGCTCACATAAAAGTATAGTTAGATAAAGCAAAAGCCACTATATCATATGCCAGGAGTACTCAAACTTTTTGATCTGTGGCGGGCCAGATTTTGGTTTTGGCCATGGCCATACCTTCTCACACTGCATTGGCATGATTGGGCAATAACACACTTACTTTATGCATGTGCAAATATGGCATTCATCATCAATAAAGCACCATATGTTTTTTTATTGTAAATCCACTGTTGACAAACTCACTAAGCACTCAAGATGCTGTAGTTTTAGTACAATTAGTTTAAAGCATGGTGTAGCACTATAGGCTTGATTTGATAAAGAATTATTAAGCACAATATTCTCAACATGGATACATTTAAGGCAATAATTTTTTTACAAAAATATTATTTTAACAATTTTATCCAGGTCCTGAAAGCAAAAGAAAAGAATATTGAAATAAATGGAGTCGTGAGTATTAAATTGCATTTAAATTTAATTTTATGACATAGCCCAAATGACTAATGCCAACTTCCTTCCCCTGGACACATACCCAACCAAAAATAGCCATCTCTGTGCAAAAAATGATGACAAATGCAGTAATGTAGACTTGCAAGAAAAAAAAGTTGCAGCTATGATGGGGCAAAAACATAAGTACATACAATTTAATGTGTGCTAATCTCTGTAAATCTATAGAACATACAAAAGAAATGTTTATAACACAAGTACAAAAAAAATCCAGATGTAACTTGACTAAAGGAAAATTTCATTAAAAGTCGATATTGTCAACACAAATTGTTTTTATTACTAAACATAAGCCAAATTTTTTTTTCAATACCATACAGGTATACATTTTATCAAAAAATGGAAAAATGTAGGCCCTGCCATCTTAGAAATGATATTTCTAATTATTCTCTTGTTCAATGCAACATTTAATGTAAAGTAGCTGTGCAGTACTGCACACCGAGTGCATAAATAACAAAACTGATTATTATACAACCTTCTTCTGTAATAATTGACCATTATTTTGTATTACATACCAATAATATCAAACATAGATTCTTGATTACTCATCAAAAGTGTGTAGATCAATTCACTAAAGTACTTTAAAAAAAATAAAACTTTTCTTAGTTAGGCCTTATCATATTTTTTATTTTATTTCGCAACTTAACTTGGAGAGTATATGGGAGTAGCCTCGAAAGCATAGGGGTAAGCATGGGGAACATGGGGGTAGAGGAAATTTTTTAGGAAATATGAATGGGAGATTAGAAGTAAGGTCACAGGATTGACTGAGTTGGGTGGGTGTAACTGTTAGGGTTTGGGGAAATGGGGAATGAGGAGGGTGAGGGAGTATGAGCATCCATAAAAAAAAAAAATTACAGGCACAGGTTTCCTTGCATTGTAATAAAATTAATAAATTAACAATATATTTTAACCACAGTTAATTTTGGAACAGGTGACTCACAGCAGTGGTAATCATGGTCAGGCCCTGGCCTGGGCTGCCAGTGTGTGTTCTTTACCTTGCTATGTAGTCGTCCCACAGACAGCTCCAGCTGTTAAGAAAAATGCTATTCTGAGCTACGGTGCAGAACTTGTAGAATGTGGTCTGGAACCCACCGACAGGTTTTTTTTTTTTTTTTTTTTTTTTTTTTTTTTTTTTTTTTTTTTTTTTTTTTTTTTTTTTTTTATTTTTTATTTTTTTTTTTTTTTTTTTTTTTTTTTTTCTTTTTTTTTCTTTCTTTTTTTTTGCATATTCATTTAAATATTAATTGTTAATTTTATTGAGGTATTTAAAAATTAAAATCCATTTTAAAAATTCCTGTATATTTGATTCATTCTTAATTCTTAACTGTTTTTTTAGAAAATTATAGAGTAACTTTTCAAGTTACCATGCAACTTGTGAGGATTTATTTATACATATAAATATTTTTAATTAGAATTTAAAGTTTACCAATTAACTAAATTAACTATTAATAGAATCTCATTTTGTAAAAAAATCTCCTTTTTCTCAGGTATGAAGCTTGTGAAAAATTAGAAAAAGAGAAGAATTTGGAGTTCATCCCCCCTTATGACCATGTTGATGTCATTGCTGGCCAGGTTAGTATTTGAGCAGTTTTATTGTGAACAGATTGGGAAAAAAACAACTAACCATTTAACTCTGTTATATTGGGACATCAATCCCCTGCACTTACAGCACAAGTACATTTTGTGACAGAATTGATCTCATCAGCCATCTGCAAATTCACAGCCAAGTCCATTTTAATCATCGCGCTCCTCTGCTTTCAAGGCTACTCCCATATACTCAGCCACTCAAAAGCAATTGAATTTGAATACTTTATAATTTTAATTTCATTTGGTCAGTGCCCTTTTTTACATTTATTTTATATTGAATTGAAGTTCTAGCTAAATAATATTTTAGACTTAGACTAAAAATAAGCCTTATTACACTTTACTAGATAATACCCATATCATTTAAGAATTTAAGTTGAAAAATAATTGTTTTCTTTTATAGCAGAAAGGCACAAAATATTTGAAAGAAATCTTGAGTTATATTTATATGATGATGAGTCTAACCAAAAAGACACTCTTCATTAGATCAGGCCTTACATTAGAAAAGTTAAATGTACATGTACGTGAATACTTCATAATGAAGTGCTGTTTGTAATTATAAGCTCACCATATGTTATTTAAATAGTGATAAATTTCTTTGTCAGGGTACTATTGGACTTGAATTCCTGAACCAAGTCCCCAAGTTGGATGCAATCTTTATTCCTGTCAGTGGAGGGGGGATGTCAGCTGGCATCGCTATAGCAACCAAAGCCATCAAACCTAGTATTAAAAGTAGGTTGCTTTAATTCCCTATTATTTTAAAAGGTGTTAAAAGTCAAGTTTCTGTTAGCTTAAATGACATCTGAGACCATTTATTTAAATCTCTTTCATTTATATTGTTTTAGCTATGAAGCTGGTAATATAGACTGTTATATAGCACTGCTTGTTGCTGACAGTGTCTGAATGTATATATTCATTCTGACCCAAAGCTGCAGCAAACCTTAAGCCAGTAGTTCTCACACTTTTTTTCAGCGGCGGCCTTCATGGCACCATTAACCCATCGACAGTGGCCCCTGTGTTACACCCACCCCCACCCCACTTTTTTTTCTCCATCTTTAAAAAAAATGACAGTAGTTAGTAAAATTCTGTTAAAAAGATAACAACAAAATAAAATGTAATAGTGTTAATGTAATTGAATTTACAATTAAATTCTAGAAATGCTTTTAAATTTAATTAATTCAGTAATCGCTCTGACACAATTTTATGTATCATATTCATATGGTTACAAGATATTTTAAGAAGTCGTGGCACTAGGGGGTGCCAACCACACCGTATGACACCCTCACATTGGGTGACATCAAAAGGAAAATTCCAAATTGACAGTTTCCTCAACCAGAACTCAGTTTATTACATGAGTAGGTGCCCCCAGATCAGGGTACCACAAAATCAGGTTGCCACCAGAACAGCATGTCACCAGTCAGAGCAGTGTACCATCAGAGTAGATTTGGATATTGGCCAATCTTGCTAATGAGAAGAGTTGCTTTAGATATAAAAGTAGAGTTGATCAGTTAGATATGAAAGTAGAGTTTATTTAGATATGTTATTTAGATATGAAAGTAGAGTTGATTTAGATATGAAAGTAGAGTTGATTATTTAGATATGAAAGTAGAGTTTATTTAGATATGAAAGTAGAGTTGATTATTTAGATATGAAAATAGAGTTTATTTAGATATGAAAGTAGAGGTGATTTAGGTTAGGAAATAGAAGGTATTTAGATATAAAAGTAGAGTTAGATTTAGATATGGAAAGAGAGTTGATTTACACATGAAAGTAGAGTTGATTCAGATATGAAAGTAGAGTTGATTATTTGGTTTTAATAAGATTGACAGCATCTTGAAAAATGTAGATTGATGTCATAATTTGATAACAAATTGTCCTTGCTGGTGAAGTTTTCATTGATATAAAATTAGTTAAACTTATGCACTGTTGTCGCACCACTCTCTCATATAAAAATGATGTTTATTTGACCTCTGAATAAACAAACTAAAAAACTTGAATGAAAATAAAGACATAAAATGAAATAATAATAAATTCCACCAGAATAAATAAGCCATATGTTTAATTTCTTATTTCTCATTCCCATGAATGTTGAGTAGAAAAATATTTTGGCAGCTCCTCTTTGAAGTTCATTTTCTACTTTTGTGCAATCAAATTATTTAGCTAACTATGTAAACATTCTATGTTGTTAAATTGCTAACTGTATGACTAGTGTCTAATTATGACTCTCTTTCAAGGCCAAAAATGATCCAATAATTTTAAGTCATTTTGTCAAATTTTATATAGTTTTAATGGAAAAACAAAATAATCATGATATAATTCACCACTGCCTTCTTAGGTAGTCCCAGGGCTCCTTAAATTTACAAGGGGGTGGTACCGCCTACTGTTAGAACCAGTGCCTTGGACTATTGCATTTAAAAAAAAATTAAAAGAAAAAAAACAAAACACTTATAAAAGATAACAAAGCTTTTAAAGCCATGTGCAAATAAGTATTGAACTGAACTGATATTTGTTTCAAAGCAGTTAACATCTATTTTAATTCTTTTCTTTTGACTTGTTTTGTTCTCAGAAGAAGGCATTTAGCAGAGACTCTTTTTTTTAAAATCCTCATGCATTGTGCCTTTTATATGTCAAACTCATGTCTGGTAATTTTCTGAGTCAGCCTTCTGCTTCTGATATCATATTCATTTAGTAAAGAGCCGTTTTTTATTTATTTTGTGGGTTGAATGTTACTCAATGACTTTTGTAAGCTTCACCGATTTTTTTTCTCAGTTTACTCTTTCATTTTTTTTCCTCCAAGTCTTCTTGGTCACACCAAAAGGAAAGAAACTCGAGGAGTGCCTGAGAACAGGTAATAATACTAAATGGCTGTGATAAATTTACTCCAACATCAATACTGAATGACCAAATCTGAGGTTTGATTTATAAGTGGAAATAACCTTTATGTTTTAAAATGTAAGTAGCATATTCCTTTATTCATTGAATATGGTGTTTCTCAATTTAAAAAAACATCAGCGTCATTAATCTATAATTATTTTTTATTTATTCAAATCTATTTTTAAAAAAAGTTTTTTAACTTTGAAATTTTAATTGTTTCTTTAATACCAGCTTTTATTAACTTTATTGACTGGCATACCTATGACTTTTATGATTGTTAGTAAAAAAAAAAATTTATATATATATAGGCCTATATATATTTAATATTATAACTACTGAGTAATGTTTATGTTTTTGTGGGTCTGTAACTCTGATCAGGAACTCGACCATGGGAAGGCCCACCGCAATACCTTGACACTATAGCAGATGGAATCAGACTTCAGCAGACTGGGTACATCACCACTCCAATACTTACAGACCTAGTGGAAAAGGAAGTTTTTGAAATGGTGAATAGGAAATTTTTAAAAAATGTTTCAAATTGCTTCAAGCAGCTGCAATTAATAAGTAAGACTTCAGTCATACTTGAGGAAATAGATGAATTTTAACATCAAGTCAGGTTGGCTGCTGTCCTGGACTTGTTTAATCAGAGCTACATTTTCACCATGAACAGCTTTATTACTGGGCTTACAAATTCATTCATCTCTGCCTAGAAAAGTTAAGTCTGCTATCACTTTGTCAAGAAGCAGACATGAGTTCCACAGGGCTCACAACTACAGCAGTGAATAGGAAACCAAAACAACTGAATGTGTTGGCCCAACATTTACTCTTATTACAAGCAGCAAATATACTATTAAATATTGCTACAGAAGCAACAATATATTTACTTTAAGAAAGCTGTTTTTATTCATTATCCATCCTTCTCAATCATAGCATGAAATTGAATTTTTATTTACCGACTACGGGACTTCTTCATCATCATGTTTTTCTTCTGAGGTTTACTCCTTTTGGTTTTTGCGATCAGAGTTAAGGAAGTTTTGAAATAGTGAATTAATGTCCATCTAATTTCTTTATTTATTTTACAGAGTGATGAGGAAATGATTGAGGGTATGAAGTTCATATTTGAGAGAATGAAGGTTTGTGAAACATCAAATTTCTAGTTTCCAACTTTGTTTATAACAAGGGCTCAAATTTTGCTTGTTGCCCTAGCTCTTGATTAAAGCAAATTTAGTTTTGTAAAATGTTTTAGTTCCTTTAGTGGCAGGCTTAGGTTGTGGTCTGTAAGGTGCATTTAGAATTGTAAGCAGATACCTTGCATATAATTTTGGGGCCGGAGGGACGAGGTTTTAGTGAATGTGATAATATGATGTGTCTTTTTTTCCTTCATTATTCATCTTTATGCTAAATATTAAATAATAAAAGATTTTTCTTTCCACCAAAGTAAACATTTACACCAATAAAAAACAAAGACCAGTAAACTTGGTTTCTTGCTTATTTCTCATCATGTTTACTCCCCTAATCTGTGTTCTAGATTTCGATATCTTTTTTTGTTTTAAAATTATTCTTATAACTGCCTCAAATCTGAATCATTTGTTAAGTGTGCATGTCTTATTTATATTGGTAAGGCCTTATTTTGTTATATTTATAAACATTCTATCTAGTAGTATAAACTTGAATAATGTTAATATTCTTTGATTATCTCTGTGAAATAGCTTGTGATAGAAGCAGCATCAGGGGCAGCGGTGGCGGCAGCATTTTCACAGAAATTTAGAGACATGGATAACAGTATCAAGAATGTTGGAGTTATTTTGTGTGGAGGAAATGTGGACATTGATGCATTGCCATGGTACTAATCATAAAGTATCTTAACTCACCTAATATTAAACTTTAAAAATGTATAATTTTAACTCAATTTGCAGACAAAAATTATGTTTCATAATTCAGACCGGTGTTTTTAAAGTGATCCATTTTTTGTTTAATTTTTATTTGAGCATTAATATTTATAAAAAATATAGATGTTTTAAAGTATGATTAACAGAATAGCTTTAAAAGTTTACAACACTGGTAAATAATACATACAGGCCCATTTGGCCCACATGGTCATGATACTAGGTATTTTAATTTGTTGCTCATTTTCAATAAACCGGTTAACAATTTCTCTGATAATTTTATAGTATGCTTTGATTATTTCATCTATTTCAAGCAGTCTCTTCTGTATGAAACAAATATTTATTGAAGAGATTTTAATGATGACTGTTGTTATTGCTTTTTTTTAAAATATGTTTTTAAATGTAATTATGGCCATGCTATCCACTTGCTCTGCTCTACTTAAGTAAAGTGAAAATGAAATTAATGAGATCCTGTTTATGACATTTTTTTTTCTCTATTAAACAGAGTCATGGGTTATTTGCATGGGTTGGTAAGGAAAAATTACATTTAATTTATCACATCCCATTGCTATATCTAACCAGAAGACTTCTTCTTGTATTAGAAATTTCATTTTTTTTTCTATAATAAAACATACAGATATTTTGATCTCTTGGATTTATTATCAGACCATTTTATTAAATAATTGATTACTAAGAAAATTGGGTAAGGATGTGCAAGTAGCTGCATAGTTTGTCTCACCTCAGTATTCATGATTGTGTTTAATTCAGACCAAGGTCACATATAGTAAAGGGCATTATATTGTATTTTATCTTTGTTACAGAGCTATTAAAAAAAAATTGAGTTTTTTATGTTTTTACTTCTGATTATTTTTTTTACAATTTAAAAAAAAAAAAAATTGTGATAAATATGTTTTGTGAAGTTGCTAACTAAAAAAAAAAAAAATAAAATGTTTGTAATAATATTTTATCTTTGTTACAGAGCTATTAAAAAAAAATTGAGTTTTTTATGTTTTTTTTTTTGATTATTTTTTTTATAATTTAAAAAAAAAAAAATTGTGATAAATATGTTTTGTGAAGTTGCTAACTAAAAAAAAAAAAAATAAAATGTTTGTAATAATAATTCATGCTAAAAACATTTTATCTTCTCTGTGGCTTTTTTTTTCTAAATCATTTCTCTAGATGGCTTTTATAAAACTTATTTCTGTTAGTACTAGTAGGTTTAAAACCTTCAGGCTGGACTCTTACTTGAATTAAAAACTGCTTTGATATAAAGATTTAAGTCAATTATTTATTTTTATTTGATAAATTGACTAAAAAATCACTGAATGCACATGCAATTATGACTAATTTTTAAGTCAAGTAAACTGGTAATCTCCCTTTTTTAGATAAAAGTCCCTACGTAACCAATGGCCTACATGGATCCATTAAATACTTGGATTAAGAAGCACAAAAAATATATGAAGAAATAGTACATTGTCAAGATTTTATTTTCAACACAACACAACACTGAAAGATGTTGGTGTTACTTGCAATGTATAGCATCTCACAACACTTGTGTATTTGCCACACAAATTTAAAACATAATAAATTAATTGGATTATGACTTGGCCTTTTGGAACAGCTAACATATGACAGGAGTTTAAAAATTAATTTAATTTGAGCATTTATTGTATCCATACAAAAAAATTGTATAGCTTCTATTTTTTAAGGAAAATGAAATTATCCTTGTCTAAATTAAAAAAAAAAAGAATTACAGGCCTACATATTATATATATGTATAATTTAAAAAATGTTACAACAGCAGGATAATTTTTTTTTTTATTTAACCATTAGAAGTGATAGTCCATTATAATTTAATGTTGAAATAAATCAATTAAATTTAAATGCATAGATAAGTTTATGAAAACAGTTCATTTGCTATAACTATAAGTATAAGCTTTGTATTGCTCTTTTTTTCCTTACAAGTCACTAAATCCTTTACATCAGGGATTGATGAGTTATAAACTGGAACTTTGCCAATTTGAAATCATCATTAAAATGCAGGTTATGTATTGTTTTATAAGAAAATTATATAAAGTAAATATTAACCCTTTCGTTACCAATGACGTCGACGCGACCTCACAATTACCCACTTTCAATTACCAAGGACGTCACATTGTCGTCATAACAAAGAGGCAAAGAACTTTTCTGAAAAATCGAGGATGTCACATAGATGTAATATTTCAGTGCTATATATTTCTTTATTTGTTAATCTATGGAGAAGTTAATAAGCGAATCGAAAAGAGAATGAATAATACTGGAAATTTCTAACATATTTTATCGATGAGTCTGCAAAAATCGGTGCCAAAACCACCAGTAATGAAAGGGTTAATGTATAAAAGCTGTCTAGTTTTGGGACACATAAAGAGATAGATACCAATATTTCTAAATTACAAGGCACGTAACAACAGCTACACAATTAATCTTCACAACAAAACATGCAAATATTGAACAAATTATATTTCATTCATCTTCCCCTTGAAAATCAGGGAAAGCTGATTTTTTGGGGAGGGGCTGAAAATGTGATACAATGTGCCAAGATTCAGTTCAATAGGTTGATGGGAAGTGGGTCAATTAGCCATCTGAAAATTTTGCCTTAAACACTGAAACACATGAACAAAAGCAAAGTTAATATATTATAAAGGATTTAAAAAGAGCAATAACTTTTTTATGTAAGCTGTCAAATAGAAGAAAGAAAAATGTTTGTTTACATTAAGAAGAAATAGCACAATCATTTAAAAATCTGTACATTATTTTTGTAAAACTAAAATAATGTAATAAATGCTTTCTGTTTTCTTGGAAGACATTATCAAAGAACAAAGAAATGTTTTACAAAATTTTGAAAAATAAATGCTGCGCAGGCCATGAGACTAAGATAATCTTACTAATATTGCCATTGTTTGCCCTTTGCATGCAAAGATGACCAAGGCTTTGACTTGAGTAGTAGCCGTGATTTGAGCTATATTTTGTTTTAAGTGAGTGAGAGTTCTTCAATTCATCAACTTCACTAGATCGTCTTTGCCAATTAGTTCCAATGGCAAGACCTAGTCAATATGACTGGAAATAAACCACGATGATGACCAAGGTGAAGAGTGGCTGACTGGTTTAAACTGAATCAATTCCAAGCTTGTGGACTAGTCGCAAAAAGCCTAGACAGGCAAAAATACAACCCCCATCCCGGGTTGATGGGACTCGTTAACACTGAATGGCAACTCATCTAAGAAAAGGCAAACACTGATTCAAACCCCGAGATGAAGCCTTGAAGGCCATATGACACTGACACAATGCTAATTCCAGCAACTCCTGCAATGTGAAATGCATAAAGAGCACAGTGAAACACACAAACTAACACTGCATCATGGTCTAATATTTTTTTATTACTAATAACTTAATAACTAGTCATTAAGTCGGCATTGTCAAGTTAATTTTTGTTTTACATGACTGCAAGGTATTTCAAAGAGTAGGTCTTAAAAACCAATTAGTCGATATAGAGTGGTAGAATGTGAGCAGACATGTAGAAACCAGATAGTCATCAACCTTTCAAATATGAATAAATCTCAGTATAAAAATTCACTGGCTTAACTATCTTAATTTGTTGGCAAGGCCAATGCTCACAAGCCATTATCAAAATAATGAACAAACAGTAATTACAAAAAATGCACAATATTTTAATTAAGATACTTTCTGGGATAACTTTAAAAAATAAATTAATGACAAAGTTCTGATATATCTTTAGAAAAATGCTTTTCATTTATAAAACAAATTATTTAAAAGGACAAGATAAAGTTAAAATGCTGTTTATTCTTTTTTGCATTTGTTTATTTATACCTATCAGCTGTAAAAGTAAAGTTTTTGAGCAGTTTCCTGGTAAAAGTTTAAAATGGATGGCTTTGAAAAACTTTTTTTTTTAAAATTAACCTCTCCATTAAACACTTTATTTTTGGTTGATGTCTATGTTAAAATATTTTTTTAAAAAGTTATTATCAAACATCTCTAACAGTTGGATTACTTAAATCCTTCCCAGCTTTGTTAATCTTTAATGAAAAATCAATAGTACTGTATCCTTGGGTCAGTTGGCTCAATGAAATAACATCAACATTAGAGGTGCAAAAGTCTGTGAGTGTTTCCTCAGTAATTCCTCCACTAACTTCTACAATGATGTTTGGAAATGTAGATTTTAACTCCCTTGAGGCTTTTTCTGCAGACTGAAAAGAAAAATGCAAAACATGGTGGACACACTCAAATCATTGCAGCTAATTGTGTGTCATTAAAAAAGTAGCTCAATGTCCATTTTACATAAAAGCAGGTAGATCTAGTCCCCAACCAATAGGAACTTTAAAAAGAAGGTGATATTTTTCTCCATGTTTATTACTTTATTTTTCTTGGAAAATTAACACTGTACCTCAGGTGAAAAATTGTCCAGCATGATGATTTCAGCACCAGCTTTGGCAGCCTCAGTGGCTTCCTGTAAACTTCTGCATTCTACCTCTATCTTCAAAGAAAAACCTCCTACAATGCGTGCATCTTTAACAGCCTGAATAGTTCAAGAAATACTGGCATTTAATAATTGTTTTATTTTGATTAATTTTTTTATAGTATATACTTTCTTATATATATCAACCAAATTCTTGAAAAACATGAAAATGGTTGTTTAAAATTGATTTGATTGATCTCTTGTTTGTTAGAGATAGTCTGAATACAGTTAAGCCCTATTTCATCATTTCATAAAACAAAATTTTGTAAATCTTGAATAAGTTTATCTTCAATTGTCTTTACCTGTGAAATACTTCCAGCTGTCCAGATATGGTTATCCTTCAGCATAATCATAGACGACAGATCATGACGATGTGTCGAGACACCTCCTACTAGTAGGGCATATTTTTCAACCAATCGAAAACCTGGTGTAGTTTTTCTTGTCCCTGCCACTTCTCCTTTCCAACCACACAATTCAGCTTTTTGAGCTACCCTTCGAGCCATTGTTGCTATACCGCTTGCTCTTGTGATACAATTCAAAGCAACTCTTTCCCCAAGCAATAAATGCCTTACTTTGCCAGAAACAGTAGCAACTTTTTTTATTGGTTCAATGTAATCTCCTTCTTGGACATGCCAATGTATAGAGCAGTCTAACTCTTGGAACACAGCATCAACAAAGGGCTTACCAGCAATAACTCCAGGCTCTTTCATCAAAAGAATTGCATTTTCTTCCTTTTCACCAACAACAAAACCAGCAAAGTCAAAACTAGGGGTGTCTTCTTTCAACCATTCTCTAGCCATGTGTTTGAGACAAGTGGGTGTTAAGATGTGGTAATACAAAGGGCTGTAAATTCTGTTTAGTACCTCATCATCAGTGTGCACATGCACAGAATTGATATTATTATTATGATTACCACAGTTGTTGGTTTCCATTTTGTTTGTCAGCTCTTTTAATTTAATTCAAAATTCTAAGAAATCGGTTTGTTGGGGGGAAAATAATTTAATTACATTTTTAAATTATATTTATAATTTATATTGTTATTTAATATTTAATTATTAAAAAGAAACTGAAGACCTGAAAAAACTGAAACCTCATTTTATTTCATCGTTGAAATTGAAAACATTAATTGGAAATAAAATTAAATGATAGTCGTACCTATATGATTCTTTCTTTCTTTTAATCTATTAGCTATATAAAATGTTAACAGAAACTAAAAATGGTAATTTAAGTTATTAATGTTTTTAGCTCCGTTAATAAATTGTACAAATCATACATTGCATCATGACTTACATTCGACTTCTAATCGTTGCCAATGAAGCTTTATCTTAAAGACGACTTGGTGTCTCTATGAACCGCCACAAATCGTGAATCTTCATCTTTTAAATTAATTATTTACAAATGCCAGGTCAAACAATATTAACTTTAGAGAAATCAAAACAAAATTAGGAATTTTTTTATAAATATTAATACAATTTTTTTTAAAAATTGTGCTATTGCAATTTTCATTTATGTGAAATAATGTAAAGGTTTAATTTTTTCTTCCATTTTCGCATAGAATTCAAGATTATTAAACCTCGCGTTCTATAGACGATTCGGGTCCTCTAGAATGTAGTCCAAGATAATTATAATCCAAATAATGATTGCAAATTTTTGCATTATTTAGTTGTGACAATGATTGAAAACTATTATAGCACTTGTGTTCATGCTCTCTGATGTCCTAAATTCAATTCAAAGAAAAAGGTTTTATTTGTTTCTTAAATACTATTTTTTTTTAAATTTCCCTCAAAGATCGAGGCAAACAGTTCCATAATTTGGGCGCAATGGATTTGAAAGAGCGCACTCGATTGTATGCAATCCATTTTATTAAATTATTCTTCTCCTCTCTCTTTTTTTTTGCATTAAGCTTTTTCCCCACATGTACCTCTTTTACACCCCTTCATTAACTAAGACAAACCAAACTTATTTCTGCTGTTTATTTATTTATTCAATTTTAAATAATATCAACATCAATCATATACAAAGAAAAGGTAAAGTGCAAGTAATGCTATTGTTTGCTTAAAACGTAGGTGAGACATTTCGTGTTTGTTAGAGGCAAAAGCATTAAAACACTAAACATGTGAAATTTACATTGTTTTAAACAAGGAATATTCAGCAATAAATTCCATTTACATTACATACAGATAAATAGTACTATTTTTTTTTAATCTAATAATAAATCCATAGTTTTTTTTCAAAATAAATTTCTAAACATTATTTTACAATAAGTATTGCACATTTTTAAAGCTTAAATAATAATGCAGCTCATTATTTACTACAGTTTTTTTTCTTCCTTGAAAAGCTTTATGTCAACTACACATTTATTTTTAATTGTTTATTATTATACTTTATTACTTTATTTGGATAAAATGTTATGACCTATGCCTACATGACATTGGTTTTTTTATCACAGGTTTATGATTTTAAAATTTATCATGAAAAATTAATGTTAAAACAGTGGTCACCACACTTACATAATGTTATCTTAAGTGTGACTTGGGAACATTTTTAATCCTTAAGTCTTAAGTAGCTAATTAAACAATTTTATCACACTAAAATTCCCTCATTTGTTTCAAAATAATCACTTATAAGGATTGACCTGATCACCTATTTGACTAAAGCAAAAACATGAAATTTATTTTAGTTCAAATAATTTAAAATTTTGTTATTTCCTGTAATTAAGACTTATTTATTCCTTATGGAGGGTAGCTTGTGTTGATTCTTAGTGACTATCCCTTAAATTCTAAAAATGACATGTCAATCAAATAGGAAAAACAGCTAAAGAAAAAAAAATCAGTGTTTTCAACATCTGTCCACAAGTATATGTTCTAGCCTGATCACCAGCAAAGTTCCACATCTGACCACCAGCTTTTTTCATCATTTGATGATAGCATATTCACCATCTGACCAGGAGCATATTCATCTTTCTGACCTCTGGCATATTCAACATCTGACAAATAGCCTTAGAATGTTTCACTACTTGAACACCAGCATATACCACAAATGAACACAAGCATATTTCAACATCAGACCTCTAGCATACTAAAAGTAATATCTGTGAAAACTAATTGTTTTTTTATAAAATCACAGAAAATGGAGTCTTCATGGAACTTTAAACATAAACACAATTTTATTTATAAGCTTAAGCATTTGCACTAGAGGAGACAACATTGTAAGTGAGTCCAATCACTATATCTACATGCTTTGACAATCATTTTGTATGCAGTATTCTTCAGGGCATATTTGGGGGACAATACATAAAAGCCAAAATATTTCTAAAGCCTAACTGTTACTTATAAGCACATCAGTTTATGAATTCAACTATGCTTAAAGGCAAGATTAAATTAGTGGCAGATGACAGTGAGCTTATTACATTAGTGAGAATATTTCCAATTCATGACAAGTGGTGGATGTTTTAATTAAATATTTTAAAATTAGGATATGCTTTAAATTACAGCTAATTTCACATAAATCTTTTATTGTATCCTACTTTATGAAAAAGCACTTTTTATGTTAATTTATAGTTATTTTTAGGAATAATTACTTTATGGCTATAACCTTATCTGTATTTATTTATTTTTAAACGGTGATAAAGAAATGTCCTGTGGAGGACATTTGTTGAGTGATATTTAACAGAGTTAGGACCTAAGTATGCTCCAAACTACCCAAGACATAAAAAGTTACAGGATATTCATTTTTAAAATGTTGGAGCTGACTTCAAAATGGAAAAGTGTATTTAAAATTTCTTATAGTTTTACTTATGTCAGCTTGTGTTCAGAAAATGGTACATCATGTGAGGATTTGTGACAAATTTTTATTTTTTAATTTAAAATAGAACAAAAGATAATACACATTAATTTACAGTGATGTGACTCATACAAGGAGTTAGACAGAGATAAGGAGAACAGCAGAGTGTGTAATTTACTCACATATGCTGAAATGGGAATAGCACTGAATATAAATAAGAACACACAGCTTTTAAAAAAAAATGTTTACAGTCTCTCCTCCCCACCCTCCCAAATCACAATTAGGAAAAGGTAATTCATCGCCACATTCATTTAAATGCTGTAGCAGTAAGCGTTTACTTCAGGACATAAACACATCATACCAGTCCTTTAACTTAAGGTGCAGCAAGACACATACAACTCTTCATTCTGTAAATGGAGGAAAGCTCTGTAAGAAGACATTTTTACAAAATACGTAGGAATAATTTTAAAAAAATATAGCTTGTGTGCTACCATATGTTACGTGTGTATTATCATTGCTTTTAAGAAGGTTAGTAAGGCTGGTACAGGAGTGAAACACAATTTGTCCCAAGGATGACACTGTGTCTTCTAACATTGCTGCAATCCTTGGTAATAAATGAAACTGTGTGAATGAAACAGTAGAACAAGGTAAGCTGAAACGTTCACATCTAATTCTCATGTCTTTTGATTCAAACTTCAACATACCTTGTTCTACTATTGCGATCCTTGGTTAGCTCTAAGACAGCCAAACTGGGTCATGATCAGGACTTTTGGATGTGATTCCTATATAAAAAAAAATAACTGAAATAAAACAAATATTCAACATTTATGAGTGTGTCTTTGCTGCCTGAACTTAAATTACACTTGCTCATTTTCTTTGTACTCATGTGATACAGTTGTGTGTGCTTCTAGATCATTCTCCAAACTTGTAAAGAAAAAGAGAGAGAGAGAGAGGAGAAAAGAAACAAATTTTAATGTATAAATTAAAATATTTTAACACTCTAATACCTAAAGTAGACATTAATCAAGACTGAAGTTGGGGTCCACAAATAGTTCAGTCAAGGTATTGTGGTATTGGATGGCATAGTTCCCATTCTGGGCAAGCAACACAAACACACAATGTTATAAATGAAGGTCACACATTATTCTTTAAACCGTTAGTGTATAATACATTACATAATAAACAGGTTTCATCTTTTGAGTTCATTGTTGATTTGACAAATTAAATTGTGAGTGAGAATTTATGTATTGTAAAATAACTATTTTTTAATTTAAAAATCTTTTTTTCTTAAAATAAGTTCTTTACAAAAAATGCCTTAGTATTAAAGAAACATAAAAAAAACCCTGTAATATTGGCACAATTAATTAAAGTGACATGAAATTAATGATTAATAAAATCCTATCAGGCTTTCATACAATTCAAGTGATATCTTTTTCAGTAGGATGTGTGGTATTCTTTTTTAAATCTGACAATATAATTGTTGCAAATTGAACAAATTTATTTTTTAAAGGAAATGTGAGGCAGGGAGGTATCCTCTCGGAATAATAGCATATTTTAAAAATAAAATGAGATATTTCTGATAGTTGTAAATGGAAGAAATAATTAAATATTTTTAAAAAATAAAGAAAATAATTAGATGAAAACAAGATATTGATAAATGTAGTGTTAACATGGTTGTAATTGTATCCTTTAAAATTTATCAACTGATTTAAAAGCTCTGCTGATAATTATAAACAAAGGGAATTTTTTGTTTAAAATAATTTATGTACATTGGTGTATTCGAGAGTGACAAGGTTTAAAAAAAATTTAACCGAGAATCAAATTTCAAGGTATACTTATTAAATTTCACGCTTTATTTTAAGATTATGTACACATTTTTATCCTAAATTTTCACTTTTGGGCTTGTTAGAAAATGTAAAAACCTACAACAGTTTTGCCTAATTTAGCTTTTTGTATAGCGACAAAATTTGTTTTTCCTTTTAAAAAGAAATAACCCCATAAGGTCATAATTGAAGGCAATGAATTCATAAAATCTAAAACTAAATAAACCATTAAAGCTCAATAATATGATAAAAACAAAGGTGTCTTTGACTTAAGAAGTTGGTAGACCTCTGTATCATTGGATGGACTTATCAAAGATTTTTCTTGGCACTGGAAAGCTTGTAAGATCATTGGATGGACTGGTTCATCTACGTCTACCTCAGAGAAACATTTGCAACAATGGGACCAAGTCCAGCAAGATTCAGTAATTGTCATTGCTCAGAAGTCTTATTTCTCCATTAGAGAAAGTTCAATAATTTTTTGAAGTTCTTCTTCTTCCAGTTTCCGCTGCCTCTCCTCCTCTTCTTGTTCTTTTCTGGACAGCTCTAGAACCATCTGGAAATCTTCATCTTCCCGAGCCATAAATGGTAGAGGCATTTGAGGGCGTGGAATGGGTGGTGGTGGCATGCCAATTTTCCCGGGTGGAGCTCCAGCCTGCAGACTTGCTGCTATGGCCCTGGGTCAGTACAAAATAAAAATACATCTTAATTATTTTATAAAAACATAAAGTGTTAGTTAATGTGTGTAAAACAAGCCAGTTTTTTATAACTTTTTTATAATTACCTTATTGGTAATATTTATACCCCAAAGTCAGAGTGATATTCAATGAAAAAAACAAAAAAACAAACTGGCTGGTCTTATTCATGAGCATAACTTATTATTTACGCAAACCTACCAACAGTAAAAAAAATTTTAAAAGCTACTATGAATTTACTTTATTACCTCTGTAACATTTTGTCCTCATCCTCTAGTCCAGGTGGCTCTTTGCCTTTGTTAAGTGCCTCATAAAATGTGACCTACATGATTGGAAAAAAAGCCTATTGCAATTTACAATTTTAGGAAAAGAAAAAAAAAAAGAGGTTTGTACAGTTTAATATATATCTGCAAATCAAGCGTCTTCTTACACTTATGTATGAGAAATTGGATGTAAGCTTCCACCTTCCATAAAAAATTATCTGTTTTTAAATTAGAAAAGAAATTCATGCTGACCAAATAAGTATTTATGCACCCAGCAATACAAAAGTGTTGAGTGGGGCCTAAACTAATCTGAATGAGACAAGGCAAGCAATGAGGAGCTTATGAACCTGATCATTCTCCGTGCCAGAATCAATCAAGCTCTGCTGTATGGCAAACTGAAGGAGCTCATCGTCCTCGTCTCGCAGTCTTTCATGATGGCTGTCTCCTCCTGGACACACAATTTTATAAAATATCAGGATTATTTTTAAATTTAAGCCCCAGAGTAAGCAGGGCTAAAGAGAATAAATTTTAAAAAAAATTTAAATCTCAAAGGAAATATTAATTCTCTAAATATAAAGCATTTGTATGCTACATGTGAGAAATAAAATGAATCAGCTAAAGCACTGCCAAATATTTAAGGTTTTCTTAAAAATGGCTTAGAAAATACTATTCATATTATGATTCTTAACATGTTTAGGGACTTTCATTAAAATTAAATTTTCATTACTTTCTATTGTAAATGTAAAGCTTTTTTACGCTACATTTGAGAAATACACTGAATAATCTAAAGTTGGGCCAAACATAAAAAGGTTTTCTAAAATAGTTGTAGAAAATTATCTTATAATGTAATTCTTTTTAAAAAGTTTAAAGACTTTAATTCAAATTATATTTGTCATGTCTTTCTAAAGTAAATTTAAAGCTTTTTGTATGCTACATTTGAGAAATACAATGAATAATCTAAAGTTGGGTGAAACATAAAAAGTTTCTTATTTCTAAAATGAGAGTAAAACAATAACAAACCAATCCTGCCGTAATTTCCTGGAGGACTAAAACATTCATCATCAATACTGCAAGTTGTCATTTCTGGTGTCTTTATGGAAGTCACATAACGAGCTTCATTTTCAATGGCTTGGATGTTGCCAAATGTGATTCGAGCATTTAAGACATGGAATAATGGAATTTCTGGCAAGTAAAATAAATACATCCCTTTTGTTATAAATCTGCTTTAAAGTGTTGAACAAAGAGGTTTAGGAACATGCTTATTTTCAATTTGGGAAATAACATAATTAAATTTTACAGGAAATGTGAATTATGAGAGTGCTGCCTGTTCTGAAAGTAGACTTTATTGAGATTTTCCAAAACAAAAGTTTTTTTTTTCTATTTTAAATTTAAAGCATCTGTTGTTTCTAGTTTTGTATTGTCTGCTCAAGAAGGTGTCTAGCAATTACATCAGTTTAATTGTCCTTTCTTTTTTTTTTCTACCCTAGACATATCTTGTTCCACTATTTATTTACTTCACGTGGCTTGAATGCAGTCCCTCATGCAGAATGTGCATCTCCAATCAGCTTAATTGAATTAAAAATGTGATATGTTCATGAGCCCATACTGTGCCCTGCTCCCGACTCCATCTTTAGCATAAATGACATTAAAAACTCTTCTAAAATTAAATGTAAAAACACAAGCTGCTCACTGACCTATTTTAATAGGGAAGCCAGCTGGCAACTGTAAAGTGATAAAGTCCCTCAACTTTGCAAAGTGAGCATTGCTCTGAGCCATGAGGTCTATGATAGGGATAACCTGCTCCTGCAATGACAGTGGGTAGCCTTCACATAGCCACAGGCTGGCCTTGAACTTTTGAACTTTGGTGGACTGCTCTTTAGGTCGACCTATGTCTTTGTCTCCCAGGTCAACTAATTTGCTGAAATACTCTTCGGGTGTGATATTGCCAGGGTTGTAGGAGGTGACTGTTGACATCTGGAAAGCAAAGGACCACATAACAATTAAATAACTGGTAAATAAATGTGGTTAGGATTAAATTGTGAAATATTAAAATTACTATCTTTTATCGTTGTCAGCAGAAAATTTCACAAATTCCCTTTAAACTTGAAAATTTTAAATTGACATCAATATACATTTTTAAAATTTCTTAAAAGCTATGTAATGTTCATTAAATGCGAGGTTGCAAAAATTTTTTATAAAGAAGTGTAAATCTATGCCAGTTCAACCCCTGGAATCAATTTTTTAAGGACACTCCCACAATTTTATTATCATGTAAAAAAATATATATTCTTTTTGTAGTAGCCGAAAAATACTATTTTCTAATTTGTCAGTGCACTTGGATATTTAATGGTTATTTTTGTCTCCCCAAGAAGATTTACAAATGAAATATATTGTTCCATCTCATGTTGATTTTCAGCATAATCTGTGGGACATTGTTTGAATAGAATGAGTTGAACTTCTTAGAACAGAATTAATTGACCTACCCCATCCAGACTGCTGCTGCTGGATGTAGAGCTCATCGTCTCTTCTGCTGTGCCAAGGAATGATTCTAGTGGAGTTTTACTGCTGGACTTTTTGGCCTTCTGCTTGTCTTTACCTGCCAGGTGTTCTGTACGGGTTTTGGTGACAAGTTCTACATTGTTTGCAGTAAATACCTGGTCACATGTGATAAAGTCCATTTGATAAAGTAAGTTGAGGAACCCATAGGTGACATCAGAAAATTGGGCTGTGTCTATCAATTCAGTGTGCAAATCTATGAGTTTCTAGGACTAATTGGTTTTCAATAAAACCATTATAAAATTAAGAACATCATAAATTTAGCGAGCTCCAGATCTTGCATTGTCTAAAATTCATAATTCTTAGAGCTAATTTCTAAAATTACATAGATTCCAACTGAGTAAACATGTGGAACATGAAAATTTTGCATCCGCTAATAATAGGAGATATTTGTCCTTGCTTCAGGGTTACATTCTATAGAGGTATGATAAGGTTATCCAATTTATTTCTAACCATTAGTGCTGTGTCAATTTTACTTTCAAACACTTTTCGCCCAGCTTTCTTTTATTTCATTGATCAATTGAACATTGTATTCAGGGCTTTCAAAAAAAAAAATTGCAGTGCTTAGACTATGATATTTAAGTATATTTTTTGTCCTGCTTAAAGCCTAAGGTGATGTTACTTTTAGGATATGCCTTGGTCATATTTACCAAGAAACCACTCACTTTGCATTCATAACCATTGACAGACTCTGTTTTATCACTCCTCCATCCCCAGATGCCAGATTTACTCCTAGCAGAAGAAGAATAAAATTTAAAAAAATAAATAACTGAATTGTATTAGAGAGCCTTGAGTGCTGCATCTTTATAAATTTGCAAGAGAATATTATGCACAAAGTATAAATTTAAGGAAGGGATTTTCCAAACTAAACTAGGCTGCTCACACCCCCAGCATCAAGCTGACATGTCAAGTGGTGTGAGGAAAAGTAATAATAAGAACAGAGGAGCTATCGGCTAAAGTTTTGATATTCGATATTCTTTGTCATACATTTATCATTTATTCATTATCGTTAAACAAATATTTATTTCTTAAGTTCTGCAGTTCTTTTTTTAAATTGATTTTAAAAAAAAATTGAATTCATTTTGTTTTCCAATTTAAAAATGCATTGTTACTTTTTTTGAAGGGGGTGACAGACTTAGATCTAGTCAAACAATTCGTAGGGGTAGCAGAGCATCAAAAAGGTTGGGAAAAATTGTTTTAGAGAATATGGTATAAGTAGGAATATTTTGAAAGGATTTTATGGTTTAACAAGATATTCCCACATTATTCTCATGGAAAATATTATAACTTTTGAGACAATAATCTCTGGTTATTTGAAATTTCTGCTTTGTTTTTAAGAAACTTATTAAAAAATTAATTTTTGTTATGTAGGCCTTATTTATAATATTTTTAAACTAAAGATTTATATTCTGTTTGGTTGTATTTTCTAATACATTCTAAAATCACATAAATGGAAATCATAAAATAAGAGTTATTCCTGGAGGGAAAAAAAATTATATTTGTACTAAAAAAGCACAAAAGATATTTAACATGAAAACTCCCAAGAAGCATTATTTGTCTGACTTACCTTTCAAATGAAATTCTGTTGGTGTCAACATAAGTGGTATTTGCTGGGGAGGTAAGTCTAGCCGCAACAGCCTCCTCAGAAGGTCTCATGACAGATGGGTCAGCAGATAAGGGCAAGACTCTGATAGTCTCTTGGTACACTTCATTCAAATCATGATCAACTTCCATTATTGATGCAGTGTTGTCCCCTAACACAAATAATTAAATAACTCATTTAAAGAAAACTTTGCTTTAATAAAATAATCATAATGTTCTCTTTTTACTTATCTTATTATCATCCTAACCTGTAACCTTGAAAATGTAACTTCTGCTACCCCTCTGCCAGGTCATATTGTCAAAGCCAAGAAGAGTTGTGTCAATACGCACACTGGAACCCTTCTTCCAGACTTTGTATGTGTCACTAGGACACATTCGAGAAATAAGGGGCACTGAAACAGGCAAGTATTTGTTTAATAACACATACCACTTATGTAGTAGAATAGTCCATAATTATTATATATTAGGCACCAACGCAAAATATTAATAAACTTTTAAATTTACACTTAGACAGCTTTCAAGCATTGGAATTTGACTCGTTTATATTGAATTTGATATAATACTTCAGTTATATTGTTCTGCACTTGCAAAAAAATTTTGAAAGGTTTGCAAAAGCACTGTTAGCTGCAATCACAACTGTTAATTTTTCATTTAAAAAATTAATTGAACTTGTATAAAACACTCACCCCAGCTAGTAAATTCCCATTTCATTTCCACATAGAAATCTGGGGTCTGAAATACATTTTTTAAATGAAAAAAAAAAGACATGCCAATATAATTGTACATCTAACCCAGCAATAAGAAATTATTATTTTATAGAAGAACTAAGTAAGAAATAATATTTTTAAAAATAAAATTAAAATTATGATTTATTTTAATGGGAGTAATTTCAGCAGCCGTAACCAACCTCCTGTAGTCTCTGGAGAAGATCGGGGACACCTACAGTTCTCTTGGAGTAACGCTGAAAATCTCTGTGCTGAAGTACAAGCTGGACTATCTCTGGATCACCAGTGCACACAGCTTCATGGAGAACTGAATTGAAACAAGAACATGTTGTTTTTATATTTTTACTTGTCCTAATTCATTATTCCGACAAGCCGAAAATGGTAGCAATCATTAGCCCCCTGACTGCCCAAAAGCAGCTTCTTTTTTTTATTTTTCAAAAAACTTTAAAATACCCTAGAGTTTCTCGTTTTTTATATCTCCCATTCCCTGCTACTAGAATCTCCCAAAAGCTGTGCTTCCCCACTTCAGGAAACATCACACAATTGGAATAGACATTTAACAATGCCATTGGATTTCCTATGTATGCTGTATGTCATATCTCAAAACATAAACATTTATAAACAAATTAGTACCATTTCAACTTTATATCATAATATATCTCTAGAACAATATTTTTTGTTAGAAGTGTAAGGCTTATTTACTATGTAAATCCTGACCTAAATCAATCTGATTTAAAGTTCACTGAATTGTTTGGCTTTCTTTTTCAATTACCCTTTTTTAAAAAAAATTCCACAATAGTAATAGTATGATAATAGGGTTAAAATCAATCACTATTCAAGCATTCAGTCAAAGACAAAATTCAGATTTACCTGACCAACAGCCTTTGTTTTCAGCATTTGCATTTGCTCCATGACGCAGAAGTACTCTGGCACTCTCAAGATTCCCTAAAGCAACTGCAAGGTGTAATGAGGTACGTCCTCTAGGATCTAACATTTCAATATCATGCTAAGTGGTAAGGAAGAACAAGATGAGGTATTATTTATTAATGTTAGTAAAAACGCTTTAAAAGTCAGTGAATGGAAAAATTAAATAAAAAATACATTGTTGCAATTAGTCACTGTATATATTTATTGTATATTAATAATGATTGATGCGAGTGCTAGGTAAAAGTAATAGCTGGGAACAGAGCCGTTCTTAGGAGTTTGGGGGCCCTAAGCATGGAGTGTAGGTTGGGGGGCCCTGGAAGGGGGGGGTCCGGGGGTGGAGCTCCCTCGAGCTGAGGAGAAAACACCACCCACCACTGCCTCACGGGGGCCACCTCAATTTCGGGCCCCTACGCTGATGCGTAGTCAGCGTATGCCTACGAAAGGGCCAGCTGGGAACAAAAAAATGGTATGCTGCTGTGACAAACTTTTTCCTTGAAAACTTCTACATTACATGGTTTGCCATTCATCATGGTCAGGCAGGAGAGAGAGTTATTTGGTTTGATTATAAATTAAAACTATATGGGATAGCAAACTGGGCACCTGGTGTGAAAGAATTAGAGCCTTATTCCTTTTTCTGTCCCCTAACCAATTAACTGCTATATTTTTTTTTGTGCTAGTTTTAGTCTTAGAATTATTGAATTACCTCCTTTTTTTCCAGTTCTACGTCTAATTCTCTGAAATTGTTATGCCATACCAACCAGTGGATGGGAAATTCATCTTTTAAAGATTTAGTTGCCATTTTGGCCGAATTATTTAGTATCAATGCACGAATATGTTTAATTTTAATTCTGCCGATGTTCCCTGTCACTTCCTCATCATAACACCAGCAGCCGAGTTTATTATTGATCTTACTTTACTATGGATATATACTCTTCATTGGTAGCAAATGTCGTAAAATATTTCACTGTCGGAAATAGTGTCACGCAGATAATTTAGATCTGTGATATTTGATATTAACAAATTAAACAATTAGACTATATTTTACATGGGTATCTGATTATATTTCTTAAAGACTATTTATTATATAACAATATTTTTACTGTTAATTTGAACAGATGGATTGATTTTCAGTTATCAAATTGTGGTTGACAGGGGGCGTAACTCAGTCTGAATTGTAAGTCCCAATACGAAGCTTGAAACTGGTATTTAGTCTAGTTGTGGTGGTTAAAAAAACACACACACACACGCACGCACACACGTACGCAAACTGACATGGCTTAAATTATATGTGTCCTATTCATATCAACATTTATTTTCTCTCATTTGATTCCCAACGTACCACTAGTCAGAGCCTAGCGTGAACTCCGTGGATCCCAAAGTTGTGATGTTCAAAAATTGTCACGGAAAGTACTTTAAATTCCATAGAAAAGCTAAATAAATAAAACCTGAAAGCTGCAGGGGGTCTCCAAAAGTCTTGCGACAGCTCCGACACTAGAGCAGGGTCGGAGACTTTACTTTACCACAATATCCTACATCTGTTTTCTCATCCCAACTTTTTTTTTCCTTTTGTTGTTGAAATATTTACCAGAGATAAGTACAGACATCCGTCAGGGTGGAAATAGTGTCGTGGACTTTACTTGATTTCCTCTTGACCACTTCAGCTGCTCAATAGGCTTCGAGCTGCGTGGAGCCTTTGTGTACCGATGTTTCATCAATTTTGCCCACGAGTCTGTGTCGGCAGTGGCGTAGGAAGGGTGGGCAGAGAAAAAAGCGAGGTGTTTATATAATATATGGTTTAATTATTGTGGTAATTGTTTTGTAAATTCTCATTCACATGCTAAACAATCTCAATAATCGTAATTTAAGTTAAATCATCAATGAGTCCTCCATGGTTTTCAACAACTTTTTTTTTTCAAACGTTAGCACCATTCGATTAAGCTTCTGTCAAACAGAGCATTGCTTACGTTTTCTCCATTCAGTGTCTATTGACAAATCTAGCTGATCTACTGTGTTAAATCTTCGCTCCGAGGTCCGACAGTCTTCGGTAGGATTGTACCAATATATCAGCAGATACCCAGTAATCAATGCCTTCTAGATGTATAATATTACACTAAGTCAGTGATTCACAGCTTTTTTATCTCGCGGAACCCGTTTAGGAATTAATAATCTTTCAGGGAGCCCCATATGCATAACCTATGTCTTACTAGGGCAAGACTCTAAACGGGCCACGCTGCTATTGAACACTGTATTTTGTAACTATACTATCTCTGGCGTCGTTTGTGCTTACACCATTTAACGTCGACTTGAAGCAACTCCGCCAAGGGTGGATGACTTCTTATGGTAGCGATCAGATGTTAATTTACCGATTTCTGTACTAGGTTCAAAAGTTTTGGAAAACAGTGGGGTGATTGCTTCCCCTAAACTTATTGTAACCACGTTTTACGAGCTAAACTATCTACCGTAAGCCAGAGTCGGTCAACCACAACTCTCGAGATGAATGCGGCTCTATATTTGGTTGGTCAACCACGCCTCTTGAGATGAATGCGGCTCTATATTTGGTTGGTCAACCACGCCTCTTGAGATGAATGCGGCTCTATATTTGCTTGGTCAACCACGCCTCTTGAAATGAATGCGGCTCTATATTTGGTTGGTCAACCACGCCTCTTGAAATGAATGCGCCTCTATATTTGGTTGGTCAACCACGCCTCTTGAGATGAATATGGCTATATATATATACTCATCTGTAATGGCATGCGGTTCTAAAAGTATTTTCTCAGGCGATACCACAGCCATGTTATGTATTTTTTTTTTTAAAGGCTAATCTCTCAAACAATGTTTCTGCTTCTAACGTATCATGGACAGAGCGACCAAAATACATTATCTGCAAGTTTGAGTAACAAAAGGTATTTTTAAAACTACACTATAATCCATGGCTGATTACTCCGGCTCAGTCGATTATTCGGCAATAATACAATTTGATCATCGTTGTGTGAAAGTGCCTCATCAAGTTTTCTATACATGCATAAGACATAAGCGTTTTCTTTAGCAAATTCCTCAATTTAAGTTTTACTTATCAGAAAAAAAAATAACTAAATGGAATGATGAATAGTATCTGGATTCATAGTCTTTATTTATTTTTTTTATTTATTTGCTGCCCTGATTCGATTAAGCCACGTTGCATTTTGATTTTTAAAAAATACAAGGGAACGAAATTTAAGTACTTCCAATTTAATAATTATATTTTAGAGGAGCGGTTCTAGGCCTGTGTGTCACGGCCCCTTTTGGGTGTCGAACGCCCCTAACACAGGGGTCGCCTAAGACCATCGGAAAACACATTGAAGAAGCAACGAAAATAATTTTATGGTTGGGGGGTCACCACAACTCGAGTAGCTGTATTAAAAGGTCGCGGCATTAGGAAGGTTGAGAACCATTGTTTTAGAGGATAAGATGTAAACATTTTGGTACACGTGAAATTAACAACCTGAACGACATCTTGTTGGAACATGGCGAAGACGTTACAAAATTACGAAATATGGAAAACGGGGTAGGTTGTCTCGTGTGCATGTTTGATTGATCCATATTGTATTACATATTTTCATTTTTAATGCAGCAAATTTCAGAAAATTAAAAAAAAACTGATGATAAGTACTTTTAAAAAAAACATAATTTTTTATTTACAAATATTTTTTTCCTTAATTTTGAGCTTGGAGCCATAAGATTTTTTCTAGTAGCTCCCAGGACCATCTAGCCACAAAGCTCTAAGTTGAAGCCCTGAGCTCGACTCTACAGCCCCAATAGTAAATTCTTCAGTTTTAACAATAAACCTTACAGATTATGAGTGTGGGTCTTTCCATTCTTGCTCTGTACCTTTTATTTCTTTCCTTTCTGGTTTAAATTATATATGTTTAAAAAAAGTGTGTTTAAAATGCGCGAACACTAAGTCCTTGCAAGAACAAGAGGCGTTACGGCAGGCAAAAATTTAACAAGGAGTCAAGGTTCTCCTGCTAGAAATGCAGCCGAGACTGTTATTCGAGGATCGGCCTTGTGAGCCATTTGATGAAGTGTCCATAGCTGGTCCATCGTCTCGGGAAGACGGAAGGATGCACGCCTCACCACGCCGCAGCACGCCTCTTGTGTTAAATGCTTACAGACAACTTAACGCTCGTAGAAAGGCTATTTATAGCATTATTTATTTATTTTTTTGCCATGTTTCTTTTCCCGTTAATCGGTTGAATTTGTTAAATTAATCTCGCCGATTTTAGAGGCACATTTTAGTCTGTCTAAGGTGGGTGGATCTTTGATCTACCCATTGCTAAACCAGGGGCGTCATTTCAGGTGTTTTCAGGTGGGGTCGAGTGGGCAGGGGTAAAAACCAAAACTTAGTCGGTTTGTTCAGTTGCTTATTACTGAAGACGCCAAAGTGCATAGCAATTGTAATAGAACCTGCAAATTCAGGGGGTAGAGGGACAAATGCCTCACCCTGCCCTACCCAAGTGACGTCCAAATAATATTAATATGTCGATATTTTACAATTTTTTTTCCAGAGGAGAGCAGATTTATGTATTAACATATATCCCCTTACTATTCTGTTTATGCTTCTTAAATTGCAAAACAAGAGATCCCTTAAAGGCGTCTGTATTTTAAAAAAAGCTACATGTTTTGCTTTACAACACCAACCTTTAGAGCACTCAATTTTATTTTGCTCTATCGTTTTTTTAACGTTAATTTATGCTGACTCCTTACGTACATTTCAAGCTTACCAATGTATACTATTTTTAACTATTGACTAGTTTAGAACCAGTTAGGCTTTTTATTGCACGCTAAATTAAAAATAGAAAAACAAAAAGAAGAAGAAAAATTATTATTTTAAATTATTTAGGTCTTATCCCCTTTCTCCCTAACCCCAAAAAATCATTTAAAGAAATGAGTGGGACTGTCTGGGTATGGTCAAAGTTTATAAAATAATTTTTTTTTTAAATAATAGAAACCAAATCAACAAAGTTCGATGACAAAGGCTTTAATTTTACATCATTAAAAAAAAAAACCCCACATAATTATAGAAATCCTACTCGTAACAAATTTAATACATGTCGTACAATGCAAGAACAGCAGTCATCAGAAGTACCCGCGCCCATACAGGCACGCCAGGTTGTGATCCTCCGTTGCATTGCGTTTGGTGGTTACCGTCCTGTGTCCGCTTGGTGCTATTCACGCCTGCCTCATACCGCGCCTGCATCGCCTGCTTCAAATTCGGAACCAGGTCGTACCAGAAGTGGCGGACCGCTGATCCCAAATGGCCTCTAGTTGTGGGCTGGGGGGAGATTTCTAGAAAAGATTGATGATCTGTCGTAAAGCTTGGCCAGTTGACCAGTGATGGCGATGTGTCTTCTGTGGGTTGATCCGATTGGACATTGCCACTTTCTGTACCGGATGCAGATGCTTGGTTAGGATTTCTGAAGAAAAAAAAATGTATTTTTTCGTTAAATAATTGATATTTAAATCTTCGTATTTTCAGTAAATAGTTTTTATTTATATAACAAAAGCCTTCAACAGAAATAAATGGGTTAAAAAACATTGTATTGAAGAGAAATATAATTAAAAATAATCTCATGCATTTTGAGTAGTTGGCGACCAAGGGAATGGGGTAATATGTAGTTTATCAATGTCGAAAATAGTGTCAACACTATCACAATTACTTTGTGCTTGTTGGGGGTAAGATAGGGTAGTATTAAAGGGGGGGGTCATGAGGGGGAGGGGGTTCGACAGTTAAAGAAAGTCTTTGAATATTTTGTGAGGGTTAAAATAAAACGAAATAAATAGTAAATTAAATTGAAACTCTGTGTCGCTCATCTGACAAATATGCTGGTTCCAAATTTGGGTGGTTGGTAAATTTTGCTGGCAAATAAATAGTCAAGAGAGTCGGAGTGAAAGGGTCATAAATTACGGAAATATATTAACGCCCAGTCGTTTCTTTCGTTCACAGAAACCAAAGAGCAGACGGCTCATTTATTCGACTAAAACAACTAAGATGGATTGATGAGATGGATTGATGAGATGGATTGATGAGATGGAATGATGAGATGGATTGATGAGATGGATCGATGAGATGGATTGATGAAACATGAGGCGGAGACGGATTTACATCAGCTGGGGGCCCGCGTATGGAGACGAAAACTGTGGATCGGTCGGAATGGAAGGACGTTTCTGGAGCAGGCCAGAGCCTTACTTGGGCTGAAGTGCCAATGATGATGATGATGAATCTCTTTCGTTCAACTTTGGAATATTTTTTTCAAGAAACGCACCAACCTCCAAGTTGTGTTAGGAATGTTTACTACTGAAGATATTGGTTAAGTAAACAAATATTTAAATATATACTTATGGAATTAACGCAAAACAATGCTTACCCATGTTTAATGAAATTTGACCAGTACGTCATAACAGCGGAAGACAACTCGATGTCTTCAGGTGAGCTCACGCCACCGAACACATACCGGACTTCTGATCCATGGTTTGTGCCGTTGAACCAACGAATCCACTTCGTTTGAAAGCTAGGATCAGTTTTGGAAAGCTTAAACTTGTACACGTATGTGTTTCCTCTCCTGGTCTCATTTACTCGCTTACTGTTCCCGCCTAATTCAGCGTCTGCGTCTCTGCGTCGTCGTCTGATGCTGTCATACTCAGAGTGCGGAGGTGCAGGGGCGGTTGGAACATCTTCAACTTCTTTGGTATGGCCCAGAGCTGTTTCTGCGACCGGAAGTAAAAAGAAGACGTCCGTCAGCATGGCAACAACTCGGTTGCTAAGAGACACCATGTCTTCCGGACGTTCCCAATCTGAGTAGCGATCGACAACGGCATCGATTATACTTCCGTATGACTCGATGTTTTCTTCAAAACTCTCCGCCAAATATTCGAATACGATCTGTCTGACCATGTTCAGTGGTATCGGTTGGGTTAATGCCTCATATAAATAAGTCATGTTATTGAATTTATTCGCGTTTAATATGGCCCAGAGTCGATACACCACCTCCCCGTCATCGGCATCGAATCCGATCAAAAGATCGATATTGGTAAAATGATTCTGTGGCTTTGAGTTTGCAGAAATCGCCTGACGGGGGTCGGAGGTAATGAAATGACCATCCAGTGTTGGTTCAAGTGGCAGGCTTGACGGAATCAAGTTTGGGGCATCAACACTGACCAGATCTGTGGCGTTGATTTTCATGAGGCAATCTTTGATCGCCGAGCTCTGCCCTCGGGATTGAACTGGACACAGGTGCCGCTTGGCCACCTCAAATGCGGTGTCGTATCCCTTTTGAATGACACTGTTCTTGGTGACTGGGGTGCCGCTTTGCGCGATGACCCTCTGAAACAAGCTGTCGCTCTGTGGATTCAAAGCCTGGAATATAGAACTGTAGCTGCCCGCAGATTGTCCTCCTACTGTGATGCGTGTCGGGTCGCCCCCAAAATGTTCTATATTTTGTTTGACCCACTTAATCGCGGTGTGTTGATCCCATAAACCAAGATTTCCCGGGATAGCATCGTCGTCGGTGGACAAGAACCCCAGGGGTCCCAACCTGTAGTTGATAGTCACGACGATGATGTCCCCGAATCCGGCTAAGACAGAACCGTTGTAGCAGTTGGCATTGCCCTCAAAGTAGGCACCTCCGTGGATGAAGATGAAGACTGCCAATGTTCTGTTGTTTTTTAACGGAAGACTTGTCTCTGCCGGAGCTGTGTCACCTTCATCGTTTCCATCACTTTGATCAGGGATTTCACTCGAATCACGTGTGTCCCTTGCGCTTGTTTCGGCTGATGTTGGGGCCGTTGAAGCTGAAGTTGGATTTATTGTAGATTTTTCTGTTGTGGTTGATGCTGTTGTAGCTGTCTCTGTTGCCTCTGTGCTGGTTTTTGCTGTAGTCAGTGTCGTTGTAGCTGGTGCTGTTGTTGTGTTCGGTGTTGTTGTAGTTGGTGCTGTTGTGTTTGTTTCTGTTGTAGATGTATTAGTTTCAGTTTCAACACTTGTTGCTGCTGTTGTGAATTGTGATTCTTTTTTAGGTGTTACTGCTGCTGCTGATGTTGACATTGCTGGGGCTCCAGTTGATACAGTGTTTGTTATATATCCTTCAGGAACGGGAACATAAATATTTAAATAAAGACAGTCTTCTGACATACGCTGGAACGCCTGACAGCCATCCTTGGGATTGATTTTCTGGTAACATATATTTTTAAACTCCGTTGCTCTGTATGTTTCATTAAGCTGGAGAAGTTCTGGTTTTGAAAACCTTAGCTCACCTATGGGGGGCTTTGCATAAGGAATGCCAAGAAACTGTGCCGAGACGAAGTTCCTACTACCGAAGATGACGGTCTCCAGCTTGCCCGTGTACACAGTTCCATTCTGATTGGGCGTGATGACAGTACCTGATGACCTGCACGGAAGTGGGCCGTGCAAAACTATGGCAATAATGATGAAAGCGGTTGCATGAATAGAGGAGCGAGTCTGGTGTTCCATTGATAAATGTGTTATGAGAACTAATCTGAAAACAAAGTGTACAGTTGTAAGGAATATATCTTTTAACGAATTTCCTGCTCATTTTTTTTTCTCAAGTGTAAAGCCGAGAGGTTATATCTTATAGAGATTCGTAAGGGGGTGGGACCAGTTATGTTGGACAAGCTTTCAGTTCATTTGTTTTGCATGGCCTTCCTTAAGGAACACATGTTTCACTAAATTTATGTCACTTAAGTTCTGTCAATATAAGCCTGAAATAGTAAGTTATTTGGCTGTAAGGTCCATCCTTTTTGTTATTTCACTTTAATGTACCCCTTAAATTCTTTAACTCAAGGTATTTTCACTGTGAGTCCTGTCACTTTAAATTCTTTCACTATAAGTTATATCCCCCGAAAGTTATGTCACGGTAAGATCTGTCACAATAAGTTTTTTCCCAATAGTTTTTGTTACTGTCACTTGAAGAAACATTTGAAGGGAGGCATCAATTTCAGTGAATGATCTCTGTTCTTCGTTTGACTAAAGCTTAAAGTATGTTAAGTTAAATTGTGAGTAAAAATAACTCTGGATATTGGCAATCGTTGGCAATGTGTGAATTTGGAGAACTAAAGATCTGATTCAAGTTTGGGGAATCGAAATTAAAAGCAATCACTGAAAAAGTTAGAATTTTAAGAAACCAATCAAATTTTACAAAAATTAGCCAAAAAAGCATTAAAAAAACGTATGGCAACAAATTTTATGAAAGAAATGTATTACTATTAAACTTATTTAATTGCAAACGATATTAACTTATGCTTGAAAAATTCATAAAAACGTATTTAAGGATATCTATTTTTGTACAAGCATAAAGTTGACGGACACCCTTGAGATATACTTCCTCGTACAGTTTACTTGTCTCAGCGCGATGCTAGCAGACCGTCATGGTACAATCTTAGCGCGCCATAGTACAATCTTAGAGCGTCATAGAAACTGAGAACTGCCGGGCTAGCACAATATTTATGATCCCTAGCGCAATTAAAGTAAATCAAGGCCTACCTGTTCTAGCACAGTTTCAAAATAACACGAACTGCTCCAGCACAGTGCTATCATGCGGACGCTAGAGTAATGTCAATATAGACGTCTTCAGATTGAGGTGATGTGGGCACTAATATCTGAGTAAACTTTGCCCCCACCCCCACCCCTAAACATTTCCTGAGGGTAAAACGTTGAAATTTTTAAAACACCATATTAACTAATATTTATTAGTTAGCAGCTCTCAAACTATTTACTGGTTCCCAGAAGGCAGTTATTCACTAATGTAAAATGAACTAAAATATAAAAAAAAGTATTCTCTGTCTGATCTCATCTCTTTGAATATATCTCATATATATATATATATATATATATATATATATATATATATATATACATCACTTTTGTAAAATTGAATGTCTTGGGGTATCAGACAGAAGGGAGGACGGCAGTACCAAGCTACCTCACGAGCTGGACGTTGACGTGGCATTTTTCCAGGAAACGCTGCTCAAGTGCAAGACGTTTCTCAACACAGTAAATTACAGGNGGGGACTTGTCTCATTGTGAACAAACTAGACTCGTGAACGTAAGATAACGGCTGGAATTGTGTAACAACTCCAACATCACCTGACGATTTAGAAAAAAAACAACAAAAAAAAAAACAACAACTTGAAATGGGGCTTCCAGTTACATGACTCTAGTTGAAGGATTTCATAGATAATCAAATTAACCTATTTGAACTGTAGTTAAATGATTTCATCTAAGGTTAAATAATTTCAACTAAGGTTAAATAAAGAATTTGATCTAAGGTTAAATAAGTTCATATAAGGTTAAATAATTTAGAATCCACACAACTGCTTTAAACTCAAATGAAATGATAACGAATTCAATGAAACGGTTTCGACTCCAGCTGAAGACACCAAGAAGTTATTTTTTCGATGTCAGGCTGGGCGGAACAACGACGTCATGACCGTTTTTTTAATATGTTTTCCGAATTATACCTTTCCACGATGTTTTAACTTGTTGTAATTTTACACATACACACATTACAAGACAGTCACTAGGAAATACACACACTGTCAGGACATTCACTGGGAAATATCACACTACAAGACAGTCACTGGGAAATACAAACACTGTCAGGACATTCACTGGGAAAGATCACACTACAAGACAGTCACTGGGAAACACACACTGTCAGGACATTCACTGGGAAAAATCACACAGCAAGAAAGTCACTGGGAAACACAAACACTGTCAGGACATTCACTGGGAAATATCGCACTACAAGACAGTCACTGGGAAACACAAACATTAATTTTAACACCAAAACTTGACACGAAAACCTGAAACCACGGAAATGAAACCAAAATTTGAGACCACAATTTGTGCACTCGAAATGACACCACAGCAATGTTAGACCACATTTTAGACACCATGAAATGATACGGCCGTCTGATACATTCTGACAACAGAATTTGAGACATAGAAATAACACCATAATGTGGCGCCAGAATTAGACACCAAGAAGTGACACCACAATCCGACACCACAATTAGACACCAAGGAATGACACCACAATCTGACACGAGAATGTAGGCACCACAAAAGGCCACCAGCATCCAAAAACCACCAACTCGAGAGCTCACATTAAAATTTAACCTTGAAGGTCGGAAAGAATGTTTTAAAACAGAATTTTCAAGTTGACGAGTCATTGAAAGCAGGATCAATATATGATGGATTGCGTTTAAAGCTGTCTGAAAGGAATAGTAGAAGAATATTTGTTAAAGCTTGAAAGAAAAAAACAAACCAGGACAGTCAAATGAACGATTCGACTACATTCCTTTGTCAGCACACAAAACGAGAAACCATAAAAAATGAGCAATTCAAAGACTTAATCTATCTTGCTGGAAGCGGTCATATGTTTGGCAACTTTCGAGTCTAGAATCATAAACTTTTGTTAATAGACGGGCCAATAAAATTAATTCTTGCACAGGATGAAACTGAAACTATCGCTTATCAAAAGAATAGGAAATGCATGACCACTGCAATGTTTGAAAGGAGACCAAACATAGCAGCTAAAGTTGAAACTCGGAAACTTGATAGACAGTGGCGATGTTATAGGCAGTGCCGGTTGGGGTGATGGTATAGGTAGTGCCGCTTTGGGCTATTCTATAGGAAGTGCCGCTTGGGGCATTGGTATAGGCGGTGCCGCTTATGGCGATGGTATAGGTAGTGCCGCTTGTGGCATTTGTATAGGTAGTGCCGCTTGGGGCATTGGTATAGGTAGTGCCGCTTGGGGCATTGGTATAGGTAGTGCCGCTTGGGGCATTGGTATAGGTAGTGCCGCTTGGGGCATTGGTATAGGTAGTGCCACTTGGGGAGTTGGTATAGGTAGTGCCGCTTGGGGCATTGGTATAGGTAGTGCCGCTTGGGGCATTGGTATAGGTAGTGCCACTTGGGGCATTGGTACAGGTAGTGCCACTTGGGGAGTTGGTATAGGTAGTGCCGCTTGATGAGTTGGTATAGGTAGTGCCGCTTGAGGAGTTGGTATAGGTAGTGCCGCTTGATGAGTTGGTATAGGTAGTGCCGCTTGAGGAGTTGGTATAGGTAGTGCCGCTTGAGGAGTTGGAATAGGTAGTGCCACTTGGGGCATTGGTATAGGTAGTGCCGCTTGATGAGTTGGTATAGGTAGTGCCGCTTGAGGAGTTGGTATAGGTAGTGCCGCTTGAGGAGTTGGAATAGGTAGTGCCACTTGGGGCATTGGTATAGGTAGTGCCGCTTGATGAGTTGGTATAGGTAGTGCCGCTTGATGAGTTGGTATAGGTAGTGCCGCTTGAGGAGTTGGAATAGGTAGTGCCGCTTGAGGAGTTGGAATAGGTAGTGCCGCTTGATGAGTTGGAATAGGTAGTGCCACTTGGGGCATTGGTATAGGTAGTGCCGCTTGGGGAGTTGGTATAGTTAGTGCCGCTTGATGAGTTGTTATATGTAGTGCCGCTTGGGGCATTGGTATAGGTAGTTCCGCTTGGGGAGTTGGAATAGGTAGTGCCACTTGGGGCATTGGTATAGGTAGTGCCGCTTGATGAGTTGGTATAGGTAGTGCCACTTGGGGCATTGGTATAGGTAGTGCCGCTTGGGGCATTGGTATAGGTAGTGCCACTTGGGGAGTTGGTATAGGTAGTGCCGCTTGGTGCATTGGTATAGGTAGTGCTGCTTGGGGCATTGGTATAGGTAGTGCCACTTGGGGAGTTGGAAAAGGCAGTGCCGCTTGAAGAATTGGTATAGGTAGTGCCGCTTGGGGCATTGGTATAGGTAGTGTCGCTTGAGGCATTGGTATAGGTAGTGCCGCTTGGGGCATTGGTATAGGTAGTGCCGCTTGATGAGTTGGTATAGGTTGTGCCGCTTGAGGAGTTGGTATAGGTAGTGCCGCTTGATGAGTTGGTATAGGTAGTGCCGCTTGAGGAGTTGCAATAGGTAGTGTCGCTTGATGAGTTGGTATAGGTAGTGCCGCTTGAGGAGTTGGAATAGGTAGTGCCGCTTGAGGAGTTGGTATAGGTAGTGCCGCTTGATGAGTTGGTATAGGTAGTGCCGCTTGAGGAGTTGGAATAGGTAGTGCCACTTGATGAGTTGGTATAGGTAGTGCCGCTTGATGAGTTGGTATAGGTAGTGCCGCTTGAGGAGTTGGAATAGGTAGTGCCGCTTGAGGAGTTGGTATAGGTAGTGCCGCTTGATGAGTTGGTATAGGTAGTGCCACTTGATGAGTTGGTATAGGTAGTGCCGCTTGATGAGTTGGTATAGGTAGTGCCGCTTGATGAGTTGGTATAGGTAGTGCCACTTGGGGCATTGGTACAGGTAGTGCCACTTGGGGCATTGGTATAGGTAGTGCCGCTTGATGAGTTGGTATAGGTAGTGCCGCTTGAGGAGTTGGAATAGGTAGTGCCGCTTGAGGAGTTGGAATAGGTAGTGCCGCTTGAGGAGTTGGAATAGGTAGTGCCGCTTGAGGAGTTGGAATAGGTAGTGCCACTTGGGGCATTGGTATAGGTAGTGCCGCTTGATGAGTTGGTATAGGTAGTGCCGCTTGAGGAGTTGGTATAGGTAGTGCCGCTTGAGGAGTTGGAATAGGTAGTGCCGCTTGAGGAGTTGGAATAGGTAGTGTCGATTGGGCCGTTTGTATATATATTTTTTTTATAGTATTAATTAAAATAAATAAGGTCTTGAAAATAAAGACAAAAAGCTCGACAACCGTAAGTGAGAGAATAAAAAAAATAGAATAGATTAGGTTTTTAATGCTATGATTTGCCATACCATCAATTATGTATGTCTCTTAAAGGTTTGCTGTGATGTCTGGTTCACAGTTGCTCAGCATAAATGCTTCCAATCTTCTTCCAGATAAATTTGATCTCATGTGGCATTTTATACATTTCAAATTCGGGAAAAATCGCTCGTAGAAAACTTGGAATAGTGGAAGAGTCAGTGAGCCCTTATAACATGTGAATACTACTGAATATGCACATGCATATAAATTATAAACTTGGGATTGTAGAGGAGCCATTTAGTATTTTAAACAAGTAAATACTACTGAATATGCACATGATATAAAATTCTAGTTATAGCAGTTTACGGCCCAATTCTAATGTTCCGATCCCTTCAAAGTACTAATGTGTTCTGTAGTCACATTTCTTCTTCTCAATATTAAGGGCCCACGATCAATTTATTGATCATTCTGGCTCTTATGCATGTGGATGGGATTTGCAATGTTTCTGTGCCTGGTGTTGAAGAGGATATTTCACTGGTTGCAAGGGCTTCTCAGCGAGGTTATCATGAACAGGGGGTTGGAAGGCCTGAAGCAATAGACGCAAGTGTGTTTTGCACAATGCTGCATCCATATCCCCATTATTTTCAATATAAAAATCTTCGTTATTAATAATTTCTAGAGTAATTTCAATATATTACGTAAGATCTTTATTGAAATTGTCAAATTTAGTACCGGTAGTAGAAAAAATTCCCGATGATCT